GAGAAATAAGAGCCATCACATGAATAGATACACGCACACCCATGTTCACTGCAGCACTGTTCACGATAGCAAAAGATCGAAACAACCTAGGTGCCCATCAACAGATGAATGGATAAACAAATTATGGTATATTCACACAATGGAATACTACACAACTATAAAGAATGAATCTGTGAAATATAACATGGAGGAATCTGGACGGTATTATGCTGAGTGAATTTAGTCAGTCACAAAAGGACACATATTGTATAAGACTACTATTATAAGAACTCAAGAAAAGGTTTAAACACAGAAGAAAACATTCTTTGATGGTTACGAGAGTGGGGAAGGAGGGAGAGAGGTATTCACTAACTAGATAGTAGACGAGAATTATCATAGGTGAAGGGAAGGACAGCACGTACTACAGGGGAAGTCAGTACAACTGGACTAACCCAAAGCTAGGAAGTTTCCTGAATACAACCAAACACTTTGAGGGACAGAGTAGCAGGGGCAGGTGTCTGGGGACCATGGTTTCAGGGGACATCTAGGTCAATTGGCATAACAAAGTTTATTAAGAAAATGTTCTGCATCCCACTTTGGTGAGCGGCAGCTGCCATCTTAAAAGCTAGCGAGTGGCCATGTATGATGCATCAGTTGGTCCCAACCCACCTGGAGTAAAGGAGAATGAAAAACACCGTAGACACAAGGGAATTAGCCCAGGAGACAGAAAGGCCATACAAACCGGCAACTCCATCAGCCTGAGACCAGAAGAACCGGATTGTGCCAGGCTACCACCAGTGACCGCCCTGACAGGGAACATAACAGAGAGTTCCTGATGGAGCAGGAAAAAAGTGGGGTGCAGAACTCAAATTCTAGTAAAAAGATCAGACTTAACGGTTTGATTGACGACTGGAGGGACCCCGGAATACATCGTCCCCTGACTCTCTGTTAGCCCAAAACTAAAACCATTCCCAAGGCCAACTCTTCAGACAAAGATTAGACTAGACTATGGGACATAAAGTGATATTGGTGAAGCGTGTGCATCTTAGCTCAAGTAGATAACATGATACGAAATGGGCAGCTCCTGTCCGGAGGTGAGATGAGAAGGCAGAGAGGGTCAGGAGCTGGTTGAATGGATACGGGAAACCCGGGGTGGAAAGGAGGAGTGTGCTGTCATGGTATAGGGAGAGCAACAAGGGTCACATAACAATGTATGTATGAATTTTTGTATGAGAAACTAACTTGAACTGTAAACTTTCACTTAAAACACAACAATAAAAAAAAGAAAAAGAAATTTGTTGCAAGTACCCTTTGCTCTCTTTTCATCCCTTCCTTCCTCTTGCTTTCTGGAAACCAGATGAAACCATCAGGGACCATGAGGCCAAGACCAAGCTTGGCAGAACAATGCAGAGAGAGTCTGGGTCTTCAATACCATAGGGTGTCATTTCACTTTGAACCACCTCCCCAGATATCTATATGAAAAAGAAATACACTTCTGTCTTGTTTAAGCCGTTGATATTTTGAGGTTTTTGCCACTTACAGCCGAACAGAAACCAAGACAGAAAGCTACTAAACTCATTTTATGAGGTGTGTACATGTATGTACATATACATATATGACAGTTATAGGCCAATCTTGTTTATAAACATAGATGCACAAATCCTAAATAAATATCAGCAAGCCTAGACCAGCAATGTATAAAATATATATTACATCATGGCTCCAGTAGAGTTTGCAGTGAATTTACAGGAATGTAATGATGGTCACAGAAACCCTGTTGGCGTAGTGGTTAAGTGCTACGGCTGCTAACCAAAAGGTCAGCAGTTTGAATTCACCAGGCGCTCCTTGGAAACTCTGTGGGGAAGTTCTACTCGCTCCTATAGGGTTTCTATGAGTCGGAATCAACTTGAGGGCAGCAGGGGTAATGATGGCCAAACATTACAATGTATGTAAATGTAGTTTATTACATTAACAGAATAAAAGAGAAAATTTATACCACAATGTAAATAAATGGAGAGAAAGCAGTCAATAGCATTCGACACCCTTTCTGATTAAAAGCAGGGAGTTGCAGATCTCAATGGGGGCCAGATTCTAGCTTGCATCAGCTATGTGAGTTCTAGGAAGTGGGAGACTGCAAGACCTGGGGTGGAGACTCTGAGGCGCCACCAAACCTCAGTCACTCCCATGCCAAGATGCTCTTCTGGTCAGGACATCACCTTAAGCCCTCAGGGAGATGTAGTTCAGGAACTTGCAGTTTCTCTAGAGTGTAATCCTTCAGCCCTAAGGGCCTGGAAGAGGAGGTAAAGAGGCTCAAACACCTGTTCTAGTCAACTCTTCACCCCAACAAGGCTTTTACACTGCCCTGATTTTACTCCATCATCCACTCCAGAGCTCTGAGCCTTATGGGAAAGATTTTGTACGAGAGGCAGATAATGATTGTCACACAGCAAAAGTGGAGAAGAAGAGGCAAGTTATCAGTGGCTGTTGAGTTGATTCCGACTTATGACGACCCCATCAATGTCAGAGTAGAACTGTGCTCCACAGGGTTTTCAATGGCTGATTTTTTGGAAGTAGATCACCAGGCCTTTCTTCCAAGGCACCTGTGGGTGGACTAGAACCTCCAACCTTTTGTTTAGCAGTTGAGCACATTAACCATTTGCACCATCCAGGGACTCCTAAGAGGCAAGAGTGGAACTTAAATTGCTTTTCTCTAATTTATCCCCACTCCTGTCCCCATTCACCCACACTCATCAGTTCACAAACAGCCTTTGGCCTTCCCTGGGATTTCTTACAAATTTTTCAAATTTCAGTTTTCCTGTGTAGATTTCCCAGGTTGACTCTGCTGAAAGGAGCCAACAATCTAAGCTAATTTGCCATCCTGATAGGGACTGGAAAGCAAAATATTCTTTATCAAACCATGTGTTACGTGTTTACCTTTAAAATAACTCCTTGATTTAAACACAGTGAAAAGTACTCATCATTGTGATGAGAGAATTAAATGAGTCTCAGGTACCCCGGCTCGGCTAGGGTAGAGAAGCACTCATACCACTTTTGTAACTGTGAAGAAATCATGCTCATGTTATTAGCAATAGGCTGTGCAAGCTACACATGCTGCCACCCAGCTGTTCTCTGCCCAGACGTGGCTAGAAGCCCTGGTACGGGTACTTCCCTGAGGGTCAGCCTCCAGCAACCACATGCAGCGTGTAGGCCGTGAGTCCTCTGCAGAAGCCTTGTGGGTGAGCCTCCCACTTCTCCCATTCTCATCAGGAGGGATCCTCAGAAACATCTACTGAAAACAAAAGTTAGAAAGATTTGAATATAACCAATTCCTGGACGTGTCTAATGAACCAAGTGGTCCAGGAGAACCTAGGTTACAGCAACGCATCTTCAATCAGTTTTTGTTTGTTTTTGCCAAACAAGGCAGGACTCTGCTCTTTGCAGGTGTCATGCTGAGCTCTATTTGAACCTGAGGCCAAAGGAAAAATCAGGAATACTGATCCTGTCTTTATTTAAAAATTTTGATATTTTGCTTATCATAGTTTTTTTTGTATTGATTTTGACTTTTTAGTATTGCATCAATATTTTATTTATCTTGATTACTGAATTTTTGGGTTCCCTCTTAAACTTTGCACCCAAGCTGAGTGCCTCACTTGCCTCACCCTATCCCAGCCCTGCTTTGTAATGAGAGGCAGAGCTACTATCACATCATCACCTTTAAAATACCAGGCATCCCTCACTCAGCCCTAGAACCAAGTAAGACCCATCTGATAACGAGCTGCCACCCAGCCAAGATGTTTAGCTAAACCTAGCCATTAGGGTCCAATCATATGATTGTTTCAGATTTGGTAAATACCAGGTGTCCTGCTAGTGGGCTTGGATCAATAGCAATTGTAATCAAAACTTAATGTGATTAATTACAAGCTCTTGAGTTGTTTAGGCTTATTGTCTCACTGAAATGATACCATAAAACTGGGACATCATGAAGTCAGATTGACCCAGGAAATCAGGACTGAAGCCTGCACCTGTGCTTGATTCATGTGTGACTCCAAGGCTGGCACCAAGCGTGAATGATTTCAAATCATCAGTGCTACTGATGGAAAAATTCATGCAACACACACACACGAAGAGCTGCTGATCATGAGGCCAACCCTTAATAACTTCTGAACATCCCGTTTGAGAAGTTAAGGGGCAATAACTCAGCAGCATCCACCGGGGGTGTAGCACTCACGTATGGACGTGCCTCTGACAGTTACTCTGACACGTGTCTGAGTGAGTCAGAGCTCGGAGAAGCTGCAGCTGGTGTGTGGTCATCTGCTTTCTAGGGTATGGACTGGCCTGCACAATTTAGCCACAACACAAGATAAATAGAAAAAGCACTGGACTAGGAGCCAGAAGACACAGGTGCTTACACCGTGGGTGACTTTAGACAAGTTGCTAACCTCACCTGTAAAATGGGAGCCCAGCCTGCCTCACTAGGTTGTTGCAAGGATCTCAGGGAGCACCCCCTAAAGCCTAAAATAAAACTGCAGGAGTTACCTTGACTGCAAAGTTCAGAGTCTCATGTTCCAACAGATTTTCTCTTGTGTCAGCACGTCTCCCTGTGACTGGCCTGTGTCTGGGTCCATGTTCCTCTCGCTCTTCCTCTGTCTCAAGCTTTCAATTCCATGGTGAGGAGACAGGTGTCTCATTCTGGGGCCTGGAGGGGGTGGGGTTGGGGAGAATTATTTATGTAGGTTTTTTGGTCACTGTGTAGACCACAACAGTTAATCGTCCTAGAATCCTGTAGATGTGGTGTGTGTGTGTGTGTGTGTGTGTGTGTGTGTGTGTGTGTGTACAGGCCCATAGGCATTTCTCCCTTTCACGGAGAACAGGAACAAGGACCCCGGCCCCTCCTCTGCCTGGAATGGGCCTGAAGTCACCATCTGGTCCTGTGCCCAAACTCCCCGCTCCTGCATGTGTCAAAGGTGCTGTAAGGTGGGCCCCGCAGCTGCACCACTCACTTTGTGCTCTCTGTCCTCCAGGTACCCTTCTCCAACTGCAGCCGAGACTGCCTGGCAGGGACCAGGAAAGGGATCATCGAGGGGGAGCCCACCTGCTGCTTTGAGTGTGTGGAGTGTCCTGACGGGGAGTACAGCGATGAGACAGGTAGAGGAACCGTCCCTGGTGGGTACTGTGCAGGCTCAGCTCCATGGTGGGTACTGTGCAGGCTCAGCTCCGTGGTGGGTACTGTGCAGGCTCAGCTCCATGTGCACGACTCAGTCACTTCGGGGCCTGGGGTCAGCGAAGCCCATGGAAGGGCTGGACTGAGATGGTGCTTAGCACGGTTTCTCATTCAACAAGGGTGTGACTGCGCGTAGTGCTGAGCTGGGCACTGAGGGGGGATGGAACAGGAATGTTAAATGTCATCTTAATACCATAAAAGCTTACAAACACACCTTTCACACATCTGTCTCTTACTTTGGTACTGCTCTCCACTATTTCCTTCCTTTACTTATAGCTCAGTGGCCCTGAGTAGACCAAGTTCTGTCTGATCCAGGCTTTGGAGCTAATAGGCCATTATAGATTGTCTGTTGGGTGCCTGGCAGTGTACTTAATATCTTACATATGTTTTTCCTGTGCCTCAGTTTCTTCATCTATAAAGTGGGGATACTAACTAAATCTATCTTACAGAGTTTTAAGAATTAAATGAGTTAATATTGGTAAAACCGGTTGCCATCGAGTAGATTCCAACTCAGAGCAAACTCTACGTCAGTGTTTGTTAAATAAAACAATGGTTGGTATACCGGAAGCACTTTATAAATATTAGTTGTAATGATTATGTCATCTCATCCTCACCACTTAAAGGAGTTATTACTTTGTCTATTTTATAGGTGAGGAAACTGAGCCTCAGGGAGCTTAAGTAACCTAACCAAAGTCACACAGCTAGTACATGGCCAGGCAAGGATTCCCATCCAGAGCTCTGGCTGCAAAGCCCGTGATCCTTCCACTCCCCAGTACTACACACTGCCTGGGACACAGCAGAGACTGACTAAATGTTTGTTGATTGAATCAGTCTGCAGTCCCCCTCATTAGAAGCGCATAGACGTGGAGTGAGGAAGGCATGGGTCATAAGCATGGGATACTTTGCCTTGGTCTTAAAGGAAGCCTTTCTATCCTGGCATATCTACAGAGCCCATCCATATATCCAAAATAAGTCAGGCTGAGCTTGAATCACTGCGTGAAAAGTTGGTGAACTGTGCCACACGCCTAGTGTGCAGGGCAGTCACCTGTTCAGCAAGGTTGTCCATTCTCTGATAAGATACAAACCTCAGCAGGCAGCGTTAAAGGAAACAGGTGCCCCCTATCCCAACGTGCAAAAGAAAACAAATAATAGGACCATCAAAGAACATGATATTAACGAAGTACATTAGTAAACATTAAGTCAGGGCTCATTGTGTTATTTGATCATGTAAAAATCACAATTATTTCATCAATAAAGAAAACGTAAATCAACCACATCCAATAGCCTGCGTATCCTCATCACTGCACGCACGCACACACTCACACACACAAATGTTAGTCTGTGCCACACAGTAACTAACTCTTCACTGGAACATCTTACAGATGCAAGTGCCTGTGACAAGTGCCCCGATGACTTCTGGTCCAACGAGAACCACACTTCCTGCATTGCCAAGGAGATTGAGTTTCTGTCGTGGACGGAGCCCTTTGGGATCGCACTCACCCTCTTCGCTGTGCTGGGCATCTTCCTGACGGCTTTTGTGCTGGGGGTCTTCATCAAGTTTCGAAACACGCCCATCGTCAAGGCCACCAACCGAGAGCTCTCCTACCTCCTCCTTTTCTCCCTGCTCTGCTGCTTCTCCAGCTCCCTGTTCTTCATCGGTGAGCCCCAGGACTGGACGTGCCGCCTACGCCAGCCTGCCTTTGGCATCAGCTTCGTGCTCTGCATCTCGTGCATCCTGGTGAAAACCAACCGTGTCCTCCTAGTGTTTGAGGCCAAGATCCCCACCAGCTTCCACCGCAAGTGGTGGGGGCTCAACCTGCAGTTCCTGCTCGTTTTCCTCTGCACCTTCATGCAGATTGTCATCTGTGTGATCTGGCTCTACACCGCACCCCCCTCAAGCTACCGCAACCACGAGCTGGAGGACGAGATCATCTTCATCACGTGCCACGAGGGTTCACTCATGGCCCTGGGCTTCCTCATTGGCTACACCTGCCTGCTGGCTGCCATCTGCTTCTTCTTCGCCTTCAAGTCCCGGAAGCTGCCGGAGAACTTCAACGAAGCCAAGTTCATCACTTTCAGTATGCTCATCTTCTTCATCGTCTGGATCTCCTTCATCCCAGCCTACGCCAGCACCTACGGCAAGTTTGTCTCGGCTGTGGAGGTGATCGCCATCCTGGCGGCCAGCTTTGGCTTGCTGGCCTGCATCTTCTTCAACAAGGTCTACATCATCCTCTTCAAGCCATCGCGTAACACCATCGAGGAGGTGCGCTGCAGCACTGCTGCCCACGCCTTCAAGGTGGCGGCCCGGGCCACCCTGCGCCATAGCAACGTCTCCCGCAAGCGGTCCAGCAGCCTCGGGGGCTCCATGGGCTCCACCCCCTCCTCCTCCATCAGCAGCAAGAGCAACAGCGAAGACCCCTTCCCACAGCCTGAGAGGCAGAAGCAGCAGCAGCCACTGGCCTTGGCGCAGCAGGAGCAGCAGCAGCAGCAGCAATCACAGCAGCCCAGATGCAAGCAGAAGGTCATCTTTGGCAGTGGTACGGTCACCTTCTCGCTGAGCTTTGACGAGCCTCAGAAGAATGCCATGGCCCACAGGAATTCCATGCACCAGAACTCCCTGGAGGCCCAGAAGAGCAATGAGACCCTGACCAGACACCAGGCATTACTCCCGCTGCAGTGTACCGAGCCAGGCTCAGAACTGACCAGGCAGGAAACAGACTTGCAAAGGTCTGCAGGTGGGGACCACCAGCCGGAGATGGAGGGCCCTGAGGAGCGGGCCCCAGCACTCGTAATGTCCAATTCACGAAGCTTTGTCATCAGCGGTGGAGGCAGCACTGTCACAGAAAACATACCAAACTCATAAACTTGAAGGAGAAGGCCAGTCCAGAAAGAGTCCAGAGAGGATTTGTGTGATCACGTTCTTCATCGGTGATGAGGAATCGCCCCCAGACTCCTTTCCTCTGAGGAAGGAGGGATAATAGAGACACCCAACACTCTGAACTTAGTTGCACTGCTTTAAATGACAGTGAATTGACTAATGTTCCCTTTAAAATTAAAAAAGAAGAAGAGCTGTGTGCTCCTGTGGTTGGAGTTATCATCAGAGTGTTGAGATTGCCATTTTCATATTTGCTGTTCATTCATACTCAATTTCTCCTCCTCTGTTATATCCCATTCGACAGCTCAGAGACTAAACCAAGGCTTTAAGCTACCCACCTATTCCTTCCCTTTATAAAAAATATCGAAAAGCTTGTCCTGAAGGTCATGGACAGCCTGGCCCAGAGACAAAAAAAAACATGCAGAGTGATAGGACATCCAGTTTGCTACCACTGGAGTTGAGTCTGAAAGACAGAATGTAACCAGTGCTGTCCAACACCTTGACCATGGAAAGAACTTTAAATGTTCACAAATGTAAGGTAAATGTGTTCCTTCCTATTTATGAAAACCATAAATATTTGGTCTTCTACTTGCTGCTATTGTGTGACATCTAGGTTAGCATCCCTCCTATACTAGTGCCTCTGGTTTTGTCCAGAACATGATAGTGCTGCTGTGTTTAGATTCCAGGATCATAAGAATCACCTCAAACTGTTGGGAAGGGACTGCAGAAATCAATGAGCTGTATCTGTAATTAATTTTGCTATATGTAGCTTTATCCTTAAGAAAATGCTTCTGTTCTAATAGCCGATGGACAATATAAACTAAAAAATGTCACAGCTGGTTTATATAAGGCAGTATTATTGCGCTCCATTTTCCTTTCCTTCCCTACCCCACCAGCCCCACTCCCATCAGCTGAGCCCCACATGAGCCCTTTCAGAGACCCCAGAGGACAAGACGGTCCCTCCATCCCTGCCCCAAAGGGTTTCATCCCTTCCTGAAACTAGATCCACATCTCCCTCAATGGAGAATAAGCTCCCAGTAGGTGATCCACTAACAGTTGTTGAAGTTAGAAAGCATGGTTCCAAGAGAACTCTCAGCCAGGCATTAGCCCAGCACTCTACCCCCAAATGCCATAACTAGGCTCCCTCCAGCAGTGGACTCTGTCTGTGGGTAGTTAAAGGAGCTGAATGGCGTACAGCTAAGTCCTCAGGCTCTGGAACCAGAGAGACCTGGATTCAGGCCCTGGCTTGGTCACTTAGAAATAGGTGACCTTAGGCAAGGAATTTCTAAGCCCATTTTTTGTCTCAAAAAATCATTCTTTTCCCTCAGAGCTCTTATGTGGATTAAATGAGATTACGTATGTAAAGTATTTAGCATGGTGCCTAGTACATAGTAAACAAATTTTAGTGTTATTGTACTATTATTTTTTCACCTGCTTAGAATACAAAACAAAACTTACCTATTTACCATTCATATTTTAATGACTATAACATTGATCTCAATAACTTTCTCCATAATAAGCCCAAGAACTCCAGGAGCCAAGTTCAAGGGGTCAGCCCTAGTAACACTGGCTTATGGTGAAGAAACCAGGAAGTTGGTCAGCCCCCCAGCCAGAGAGCCCCATGCTCCTCCTCCATGACTGTGGTGCCTGTGCCCAGATCTCTTTGTTCACTGAGGGAAGCACAGCAGTAGGCAAGTGCTGACCGCTGTCACCAGTCTGGCAGTGGTTCCTCAGATCACTCTTTCTAAGTGTTATTCTCCAGCCGAGGCCAAACTGCAGCAGTTAAATCTGTTTGAGGCCTCAAATTGTAAGCTCTTGGCGAGTTCTTCCTCTGATCACCTTCTTCCAAAGGGGCACCTTTTAATGATTTTTAAGGTTGACATGATGGCTGTTAAGACTATGATGAAGAAGCATTACAGGGCACCATGTGGGAACATGAGTTTGAGACACAGAGAGATCATCCTTGTTAGGCATCTGCTCCCCCGCCCAGGAAGGGCACCAGCCCCAGGCCCAGCCTGCTGCAGCTCCCACTCCCGTTCCTTACCCCCACCCCACCGCTCCTAGGCCTGTCAGCTCTCTCAGCTTCCTCCATGTCCATCACTGGGGCATGGAAACTAACTGGCAGCTCTCAAGCCCCTCCCTCTAGGCACCCCACACTACCATGTCTACTTGAAAATATGGAGAATTCATGGAGGTTAACAAGAAGCTACAGCCTTCAGTATGCATTGCACCTGAATGTGAAGAAAACAAAATATTGGACTGATAAACAATATCATGATAAGTGAATCAAAAATTGAAGTTGTCAGTGATTTCATTCTGCTTGGATCAACAACCAACATCCATGGAAGCAGCAGTCAAGAAATTAAACAACCTTGAAGACTCATTCACATAAATGTGTCACAAAGGATCTGGAGCAGCGTCTGGTACATACCAGGTGGTCAATAAATACTTGTTGAATAAATGGAAAATAAAGAAATCAGACAACTTATCGCATTGGGAAAGTCTGCTGCAAAAAATCTATTTAAAGTTTTAAAAAGGAAAGATGTCACTTTGGTAACTAAGATGCACCTGACCCAAGTCATGGTTTTTTTCAATCACCTCATATGCATGTGAAAAAGACAATGAAAAAGGAAGACAAAAGAAGAATTGATGCGTTTGGATTGTGGTGTTGTCAAAGAATACTGAATATATCATGGACTGCCAGAAGAACAAACAAATCAGTCTTAGAAGAAATACAGCCAGAATGCTCCTTAGAAGCGAGGTTGGCAAGACTTCGGCTCACTTACTTTGGACACATGTCATCAGGAAAGACCAATCGCTAGAAAAGCACATCTTGTTGGGTAAAGTAGTGGGTCAGCAAAAATGAGGGAAGCCCTCAATGAGATGAATTGAACAATAACCGCAACAGTGGACTTAAACTTACAAACAATCATGAAGATGGCCCAGAATCAGGCGACATTTTGTCCTGTTATTACATAAGGTTGCCATGAGTCAGAGCTGACTTGGCAGCAACTAACAAGCTCCCAGGGCACCACATGAGAAAGAAGGCACAGATCTCCAAGCCTGTATAGGCATTTGTGGTAGTAGGGAGAAAAAGGATCCCTCAATGATGCCCATGCCCTATTTCCCAAAACCTGTGAATATATTAGTGTTATGGATAGAATTATGTCCTCAGAAAGATAGGTTGAAGTCCTAACTCCTGTTCCTGTGAATGTGACCTTGTTTGGAAACAGGGCTTTTCTTTTGTTATCAGTTAATTTAAAGGTGGTCATACTGGAGTAGGGCAGGTCCTAATCCTAATCCCTTATGAGTGGTGACTTATAAAAGGGAGAACAGACACAAAAACAGAGACACACACAGGGTGATGGAACCAGGTGAAGATACATTCACAAGTGGCAAAGGAACATCAAGGATTGCTGGCGGCCAACAGAATCTAGGAGAGGGGCATGGAACAGATGTCTGTCAAAGCCTTCAACATGGCCAAGAACTTGAATTTGGGCCTCCAGCCTCCAGAACTGTGAGAAAATAAATTTCTGCCCTTTAAAGCCACCCATTTTGTGGTCTTTGGCAGCCCAAGGAAACTAAGACAGTTAGGTTACACAGCAAGGGGAAATTAAGGTTGCTGATGGAATTGAGTTTGCTAATCACCTGACGTGATAATTCAAGAGTCCTTAAATGTGGAAGAGGGAGGCAGAAGAGAAGGTCAGAGTGATGTGATGTGACGAAGACTTGACTGGTTGTAGCTGGTTTTGAAGATGGAAGGGGCCATGCTGGAAAAGGCAAGAAATTAGATTCTCCTCTATAGGCTCCAGGAGGACGCAGCCTACCAACGCCTTAATTTTAGTCCAGTGAGACCAATTTCAGACTTCCAACCTCCAGAACTGTAAGATAATAAGTTTGTTTTGTTTTAACCACTAAGTTTGTAATTTGTTACAGCAGCAATAGGAAGCTAATGTAGCATTTGTCATCTCTTCTTCCTGGGCTTTGTCAGCTCAGGGCAACAGGCCAGGGCCTTCCTCAGAGATCCATGTCCCCTCTCTCTCTAGCACTCCCTCCAACTAGCTCATCTCTCTCCTCCCACAGAGAGTTCTGACCAATATTTTATTCCTGCAAATCTGTTTTGGGAAATATAAATGTTATGTTCTGAGTGTTTCTGGGCTTTTATTTTGGGTAATTAACAGCCATGTTCTCTGGATCTATTATCTGTTAGTAGCAGAAGCCTGAAAAACAGTAGCTTCAACAAGCTAGTGTTTGTTTTTCTCTCATATAAAAGAAGTCAAGAGGTAAATATATGATCACCTTTTAATCACTTTTCCTTGAAAGATTCCTTAACAGGCCTCTTGGCAATGGGAAACTGCTTAGCTTTCTTTTGAAAATAAAAGTGAATTATCTTGCTATGAAGGTTTTTCACTGAAATGAAAGAGTTTTCTAGAAGGTTGTAAGAATTTACATTGGAATTTCAGAGGTGACTTTAAACATAACATATAAGATTATCACCTTGAAAGTGATTGCCTTAGCTTTCATTTTGGGGAGATTAGGGCTGTCCGACCTCTGCCTCCAAAAGTTGCATTTGAGGACAATGTTGTCTCTTCTGATTGGACCAGGCTAGAATAATATAGCTGTGGGCAGTTCAGACCCACCCAGAGGCTCCTCAGAAGACAGGCCTAGAAATCTGCTTCTGAAAAGTCACAGCTTTGAAAACTCTATGGAGCAGCTCTACTCTGTACACGTGGGGTTGCCATGAGTTGGAATCGACTCCATGGCAACTAATAACAACCACAATATTAGGAAGCTAATAAAATTCCAGGAGGCCCAGTGATCCAAACTTGGATGGTATACAATATCAAGAATGCAGCCAAGAGAGATATACAATCACTCCACGGGGTTGTTCAGGCAAAAACCTCACTGCCTTCCATTCAGAACCTATGAAACAAGGAAACCAGGCACTAGAACCTTAATCAAAGCTGCCCTAGAAGATCCAAACCCCTCTGCCACTATACTTGGCCCCACTCACATAAACTTCCAAATGTTGTATCAGTTACTTGCAGAACCCTAGCTGCAAGGGAGTCTGGAAATGTAGCTTTTGCTTTCCAAGCTTTTATGTTATAGGAAGAGATGCTATAAGGAGTTCAGCATGGATGATGAATGGGCCAATCAGCAGTATCCACCACTC